TCCATCGTGTCTTTGTATTTTGCTGAAGAAACAGGACGAAATCCAGCGTATAACGGATCCATTTCTATTTGCGAATAACGCCTAGGTCTTCCTCTTTTTGGTGACAAATCCAAAGTTAGAAATTCATCTTTTTCATCTAAAGTTAGTTTATAAAACATTTTATAGCCATCTGCTAGCGGGTCTGGAGGTAGCCGCCACATCACTATAATATAATTTACAAAACTGCACTATTCTTTCGCACTTATAAAAATAAGTCCAGTGATCACAACATTTTTAAAAATACTGAAAATAATTCAAAACAATACTTCACACACACTTATCACCCGTTTCTATTTCTTTTACACTAAGCCCCGCAATTAATTTCCTGAGTACAGCAACTTACGCCACTTTCAAAATAAACATGTTTGTTATACCGTTAATTAGCAAAACTTCTCTCGAACAAATCTCAATAGTTCTCAACTTATTGATTGCAAATTTTTTAAAAATGAAAAGATACCGTTCAATTGTAATTAGTGTTACCATTAACTCGATTTTGTTGAAAAAGTGACTTATGCCACTTTCAAAATAAACGGCTCATTTGTACGTTTCATATTAGATTGAATATTTTCGCGCAAGACGAAGATCGGGTCTTCTCTTTCGTGAATATTTTTATAGAAATTACACCTCTCTTAAAAAATGAGAAACAAGATTATAATTGATCCTAGACGTACTGATTGCGAGTGAACGCGCGTACCAGCGCGGCGGGAAAAAGTGAATCAAATACACCTTCGTATCGCTTACCTGTGACTGAATAGCGGATCAGAGTACTGAACAGGTTTCGTGCTCGCTCTGGTATCCCAGTAGCAGACCTGGCCCGTCATAAGAGCGCTGATGAGGATGGCAGGATCCCGGGGATTAAATTCGCATGCCACGCATGGACAGAAAGGCTCCAGCGCCATGTAAGGCTCGTTCGGATTGTCTGCGCGCAAAATAACGACAGTGCCTCTTAATCCGGATTAAAGTGATCACGAGAGCCGTCATCATTTTCATCGTCCCGTTTACATTTGATCATCGCTCTTCGCGTTTCACCGAGCAGGTCGTCGCCAGTCATCGATCAGTTCGGTGTGTCGGTTGAAAATCAATTACTCTTTCGAGATTCGCTGTCGTTTCGACTCATGCTGTCTGCGAGCGCCCGGTTGGCTTCGGTTATAGAAAACAAACAGTTTTAGACCATCAACTTCGTGCTCCGTTCCGCCGATTATTAGCAATCGAGCGAGTTTGGCAACTATCGGGTAATTAAATAAGCTTCCGTTCGCGTACTTTAAATTTGTAGTTATGAATCGGGTAAAAGTTGAGTGTTGATTAAAGTGTGTCCAATATACTGACAACGTTACGCTATTTTTAGAAGGTCACATGTTCAAAATGAATTATGAAAGTACATGATAAAGGACCTCTGATAAAGTTCTGCGATTTTCAGAAATTATTTGAATAATTGTTACAGCCGAGTTTAAAGCAACTCGTTGGAAAATTATGTGATCGCAAGTAAACAGAAAATTAAATATCAATGTTTATCGTTACAGGATTATTTCGACTGTATGTAAATAATTTACGGAAAATAATATAATCGGAAACAAACGAACATAGGATACAATCACGAATAAAGAGAACGAATGAGTCGAAAATAAATTTCAATCGAACATTTCAAAACGTGTCTAAACCATTTCGGAAAAATTTCCGAAATAAAATATCAATTTCAAACGTTACAGGATTATTTCGATCAAATGCGAATAATGTACAGAAAGTAGTATCATCGGAATGAAACTAGAAAAGGACGTAATCACGGATAAACGGAACACGATACGATCGCATATGAACGAAGTACAAATTGCAGCAGAATATTTGAAAACGAGTGTAGACCATTTCCCGAATTTCCAAAGTAAAATACAAATTGTGCACGGTTCGCGGCGATTTTACAGCGTAAAACGAAGCGTACCGCTCGTTACGCGAAGCAATAATTTGCCCATCGCTCCGCAGGGGTTAATGAAGGTTGTCAGCCGGATATCAAATTTTCTTCGGTAGCGTATGCGTGGGGAAAGCTTAGCGTGACAACCGCATTGAGTAAGACGTTGCGCAGGATTAATTCAGTCTCCTGCGCGCGGAAAATTAATTTTCATCGTTCGCCCGACGGTATCACGTAAACATGAATATCTTTCCAGCGTGTATAGTGTAGCGAGAAGCGGACAATTTCTCGGCGAAAGGGAAACGCGAAGCCATCCGGAGTTTCAATCTCGGTCATTTCCAATGGGACGTCCTTTTCCCCGGAAGATATGCAAACGGATGCAAAGCGATGCAAATACTTGGGCGAATTTAGGTAATGCGATGAAAATCGGGGCTCGCGGTTAGAAGAACCGGAAGCTTTTTCTGCTACCTACCGACCTGCCAGATGTACACCGTGTTGCTGTAGTCTGCTCGTCTACCGAACTCCAAGAAACTGTAGGAAACCGCTATCCTTCTGCCGTCATCCGGGGACACAGAGATATCGGTCACCGGTCTCTTCAGGTGTTCTGGGTCCGTGAACGACGCCACTGCTCTGAAAGTAAGATTGGGCATTAGGGGAACTGGGGGTTATTCAAGCAAAAATCAACAACCATATTCCAAATAAAATTTTCAAAATATTCATTTTGAGCAACATATTTTTTCTATGAAAAGAAAATCGGATTGGAAAGTTCGTATCCAATTCTCTCGTAATTCTCTGTAAAAATTTCAGCTCGAAAATTTAGCGATAATTATTCTCGAATAATTAGTGTGTATATAGTGAACATTATTCTCGTATAATTAGTGTGTATATAGTGAATATTATTCTCGAATATTAGTGTGTATATAGTGAATATTATTCGCGAATAATTAGTGTGTATATAGTGAATATTATTCTCGAATATAATTAGTGTGTATATAATGAATATTATTCTCGAATTTTTAGTGATAATTATTGGCAGCACGACCGTTCATTATTCGTCGTAAGTTATTTTATTTATTTATTCCACTTTATTCGCATAATTCTTTATTCGAATATGTTATCCGAATAAAATCTTATTCGCATATATTTTTATTCGAATATGTTATCCGAATAAAATCTTATTCGCATATATTTTTATTCGAATATGTTACCCGAATAAAATCTTATTCGCATATATTTTTATTCGA